GCGATCCATCCCAGTTCCAAATCATCGTATAAATGGGCGCAGTTTGCTGACAGTGATGCCGATACAATCGAGTTCAAGGAGCTGATCACACTGAAGCTATCCGGAGATATTCTCCATGACACATTTTTTCCTACCTCTCCTCACCTTCTGACTTCTCTCGGGCACCAAAAGCTGCTTCTCCCAAAGCTCCGCACGCTGGAGGCTGATCAAGGATCGAATGCGCATTTCAGCCTCCTGGACCAATTCACCAATATCCCTCTGAGGACTCTGGCTATTACTGAGCATTGCAAGTATTTGCCGTCCATCAACCCGCTGCTGCTGAGCAACGTCGAGCATCTATCTTTCACTCTATGGAACAGGGGTAATACTACGCACACTGTCAACCCGAGGACCACAGTCGGACAGCTATTCGAGGCATATTCAGAAGCCAGATCCGCAGATATTCGCGCCCCACAGCTCGCCGCCACATGTCTGAATTGGCCATACCTCCAGAACCTAAGATTTGATCTTTCTGAGGTCGACTGGAACCTGGTGGAGGGACTCATCAGCAAGCTCCCACATTTACGGAGGCTATCAGTTTCCACAAATCCATGCTGGGTTGAAACTGAGGATATCCCGGGACTCAGACGCGAGATAGGCAGCTACGAACCTACCTCAACGAACGTGATTAGCCGGAGTCTTGAGGCATTCGAGTACAACAATTACTATGGTCATAGTGACCCAGATGCTTTCGAGTTTATCCAGCAGCTGGTTTTACGCACATCGTCTCTTCTGACCATTAGCGTATGGGATTGTTATCAGAGGGCTGTTTCCAAGTTGATCGCAGGCCGTGACATCGAGATTAGAATTCTGTAGGTTCCTGTTTCTTGCAACCTCGTTTTTCTCGGAATACATTGTTTTATTTGTTTGGTTTGTAGATACCCTGGTTTTGTGTTCCCAGTCGGCCCAATTGCCCTGCAGGTGGCTGGTGTTTTCGTCTCTTTTGACCAAAACTTTTGACATAGTATCTTCTATACCAGTATCGTATACTTTAAAGGCACCTGTCCATATATTGAACTTCCATATTGTTCTGGCGTATACTTGACAAACCCAACCTCGTGGTATCTTGTGATCATGCTGATTCTCTCACCGGTCGTGCTGCATTTGCAGGTTGTTTGGCAGCAGCTCATTCAATCCACTGTGCTGACTTTCATATAGTTGCCAACAATGTCCCGGCCGTCCGTAGTTGGGTTTATGAAATTCTTGCGACCAAATCCGTGAAGCATCTCTGCCTCATTTTTGGGCTAGTCATCCTGTGCTGGGAATAGTTGCTATTTTGTACCGGACAGTGCACCATCAAGCCACTTCAGACGCTCGGTCAACTGCAGCCCGGTCTGCTTAGATACCGCTGGCCAGTCGATCCGGCCTTTGACACCGGTGTAGTGCTCCTTGGCTGTTGGGTATAGGCGAAATCGCACAGTAGCGGTCAAGCAAGAATGAGCAATTAGCGATAGCATTGTTATTTTTGAGAGAAGAGGATGTGTAGGTAGCGTAAATATCTTTTTCGCTGGAAAATGCGAGCAACTCATGTCCTCAGACCTACTCACAGCCACGTACTAAGGCACAGTAATAGATGCGCTAAACTGTAAATAAAAGCAGCCTGGTATTTTGCAGGTATGCTCCGACATGGAGTGAAGACTATCTACTATGAGTCCCCAAGGTGAATAGTGTAAACCTATATGGGGTACACGTGTGCAGTACGCCAAGTAGCATGTCGTATATAATGGTTTTGGATGGTGCTTGTGCGCTCATCACCATGGTAAGTAGTTAAATGGCTTTCACAATACTGTCCAAGCGCACAGTGACCTTAGTAACGTTCCTGAACCACTGTGAGCAATTATCAATACCACACATGAAACAATCAACCCCCCACAACATACCGAAAATCAATGCCAGGTTTATCTGGAGTATCTTTGAAGCGTCATGATGTGGATGACACTTTTCGCCACTGTATCTCTTTTATATCAATGGGCAATACGCAAACAAAACCGCTTGATACGTCTGGGCGCTTGCCAGCCAGTTTGCAATCTGCTGCAGTGGCTTTCGTGGCCGACGAAAAGGGTACAACGCCCTTTTGCGCTTACCTGGAGCGGTTTCTGGCACCATCAGTGGATCGCCTCGCCCTCGTATTATCGAACCAGTCAGCGGCTATCTACGACTTGGCAGATCTCAAAACCGAGCCATACACGCTGCGGATGTTTATTGCGGCGGTAAGTGACCAGGGTCTCAGCCATTTCTGGCACACGGAGGTTGCGGCCGACTCTGCGTTCACTGACTGGGTGATCGGACAGACCGACACTAATGCGCTGTCCTTTGACGACGACAGTGAAGCAGAAGCACAAAGACAGCGGGCTGAGTGGCTTTCCAATGCATCTACGTTTGGCACCGTGTCTCTGGAGCAGTGGCAAAAGTGGTGGTCCAAAAACACGGTCGTGCACGAGCTGCTCTCCTTAGCGCTTGCTGGCCTTTTGCCCGCTGCCCAGCTACGCAGTGTGCGCGAGACCACAATGCCGCAGCTCTCAGCGAAGTTTGATGGGCTGCTGCAAGGGCCACTGGCATGGGCGCTGTTCCGCGAGCTGCCGGCAGTCTCGCAGAATAGCTGGGAGCGGGCGTACTCCAGCCTGCACGATGGGCGGAGCTGGAGCTCACTCCAGGCAGCTGTGGAGCGGCGCGGTGCGCTGCTATTGCTGGTCAAGGAAAAGAATGGAGGGATTCTTGGTGCCTACTTGGATGCAGACCTGGAGCGGCGGCCGTCGTGGTACGGTTCATCGCTCAATTTCGTGTTTTCCGCAGGTCTCGCAGGACTAGGGGTTTTCCGCGCGACAGGCTTCAACGACCACTACCAGTACTTCAACTACGGCACAAAGACGCTGCCGAACGGGCTGGGTGTGGGTGGCCAGATGGGGAACTTTGGCCTGTGGGTTGACGTGGACTTCATGTCCGGCCAGTCTTGCACATCAGCGACGTATGCGGCACCGCAGCTAGCAGAAAGGAGCGAGTTTGAGATCGAGCATGTTGAGGCGTGGGTGGTTAGAAGGAGCAAGCGCGAGGATGAAGGTCGGCAGCGCTCGGCGATGGATGCGAATCCAGACGCTGTGGCGATTCTAGAGATGGCTAACCGGACAATGTACTCCAAGATGGTGCGCGAGCCTGCCCTGGACGACGACTAGTTGGCCAAGGAAAGTGGATGTATTTTGTAAAAGAAAAAGAGTCAGCAGAAACCTAGCGACGGGGAGGATCCGGGTGTGTATCCTGGTAGGCCCGGGGGATGCGTCTGTGTACTATCGGCTCGGGGCCGCGCTTGGCCATGCCCGGAATTGGCAGACCGGCAAACGACCCGCTGTCCTGGTCGCCGTCGCGGGCGTTGATGGCACCATTGGTTTCTGAAGGTGGAATAGAAACTGTGACAGTGACATAGGCAGTGACTGTGACGACGCCTTCGTCACCACTGTTCGCAGCTGTGTCTGAGCCAGCATTAGGGATAGTGCCTGAGGAGGATGGAGAAGCAGAGGTTGCTGCTGGCGACGACTCTGCTGCACTGCTTGGTGGGCCTGAGCCGCCACCACCTGACGGGGATCCCAGATATTTCTTCTTCAGTGTATCGGCAAAGGTATCGCCACCAGTCGCATAGTATGCGGCTCCAGCATCCCACAGCATAATGCCACCTAGTACCTTGCTGTACTTTGACAGCGTGTCCTGGTACACCTGGCCGAGCTTGTCCACGCCAATGTACCCGGTGGACGCACACTTTTCGCATGCTGGCGACCCAATATAGACCTTGACTGCAGAGTTCTTGGACTTGGATGTAGCCCAGTCCGCCCACGTGTCGAAGTTGAAGTTGCTGGAGCCCGCCATGCAGTAGTTATTGTAGAACTGCACAAAGACGATGTCGAACCAGCCGCTCTCCAGGGCATCGGCCAGATGGGCGTCCGGGTACGGGCACTGCGGGGCACCGGTAATCAGGGTGCTGGGCGCCAGCTCGTGGATTTTGTTTGTGAACGCAGCGTAGCCCGACGGCCCGCCACCCTCGATGTCCAGGTCGACGCCATCCAGCACAGCCTCGCCGAACGGCCGGAACTTGGTGGTGCCGCCTAGGAATGTGTTGTAGACAGTCTGTGCATAGTCCTCTCCGACAGAGTTACTGCTCAGGCTGTACGAGCCCGCTGCCCCGCCCATCGAAATCAGGATCTTGACGCCGGCATCCTGGCATGTCTTGATCTGCGACGCCATGAACGTGCAGTTGAGCATCGAGGAGCCCGAGAACGGCTCCTCGCAGTGGTAGGCGAGATTTATTGTCGGATTGCTGGTGTAGACGTGGTGAAAGGAGAGCAGGATGATGTCCGGTGGGCTGCTCTGCGTGCAGTACTTGTCCAAATCCATTTCGTTGGTGCCCGTCTGCAGCGACAACGAGTTCTGGCCCCAGTACACGGCCAGCCCGCTGGAGCCGGTCTTGACATCCATAGCTGCTGCGCCCAGCTGCTGCGACGCTAGAAGGGCAAGTATGGCTGCGAAGGTCTTCATTTGTGGATACTGCGCAGGCTCTTCTTTTCTTCGTGAGATGAAGCTAGAGTTAATGAAATGGCATTACAGGCATCTTCGTCGTTGCGCAGCTTACGTTTTTATAGCAGCCGACGTAAATTCTTCCGAAAAGCAAACTCTCCAGCTGGGCATTGGATACATATGAATATATGCCATTGCATTTTGTTTGCTATGTATCAAGCAAGCAAACAAAACGCGCGCACCTACCCGCGGCGACACCATGTGTTTGTGGTGGGGCCCAGCCAATCTGTGGCAGGAAAAGGACACGCACAACAAACACAGTGGCTCCAGAACGCCCAGCTTTATGCCTGATGCTGCGCGTGGGAGAAGGGGTGTGTCAGCAGAAATATCCTGCACCAAGATCGCCCCTTCCCAAAGACCGAGGAGGCAGCCGCTCGGCATTTGCTAGTGAAGGCTGCTCTGCAGCTGAAGTGAGGCGTGTGATCGCCCCCATTCCGGCGCCTTTTTGCCCCGAGCGTGAGGCCGCCCACTGAGAAATAAGATAGTGGCCCCATTTAGACCGAGTCTATGCGCAAGTCCGCGGCTGGCACCCCCACGCCTGCCCTGCGCGGGATGTGATTTCCGCGCTTGCATCGGTATATGGAAACCGAAGCAGCAAAGCTCCTCATGGCGGGACTAAATCAGCGACATCGAAGAACATGCTCACGAGCATTTAAGAGGCATGGCGGGCGGCTGTTGTTGTTTTGGACAACGACCTCGTTCTACAATATTTCTTTCACACTCTTTGTCCCGCGACGTAGCCAGTCTGTTTTTTTTTTTTTTTTTCGCTTCGCTCAAGCGGTTTGTTTATATGTACTAATTGGCTGGGATTGTTTTTCATCTTGTACCACTGGCCCCAACTTCCGAGCAACATTTGTAAATTTCGGGCTTCGACTCTCTACACCTCACTGCTGTTCCTCGTTGCACCTCGGAAAATTTTTTAAACGGGCCTCGATCTCACTCTGTTAAAGGAACCCGCTCCCAGCTTTGTGCAGTTTCTTCTTCTGCCCTTCTCCACATTATTTTTCCTTCTTTTTTTTTTTATATTTTCTTTTCACATTATGTTCCAAGGACACAAAGAGCGGCAAGCCAAGCTGCTGCCGCTGTTTGCGCCCGAGCTGCGCGCCATGCGGCTGGCGTTCGCCAAGGGTCTGTGGCAGATGTTCATTGTTTTCACAATCGTGTTCTGGGTATCGATCAGCTTCCTGTTTGGCGCAGGCTACGACACGTCGCGGCACATGCACGAGGCCAAGGTGTATTTGCGGGACTTTGACAACACGGAGGTGTCGGGGATGCTGCAGCAGGTGATGCTGAAGGCGTTCGATCAGAAGAACATGCCGACGATCGTTCCGGTCAGCGCCAAGCAGTTCCCGACGGACCAGTCCGTGCGGCACGCGGTGTGGGAGGGCGATGCCTGGGCGGCGATCACAATCAACCAGGGGTTCGGCGAGCAGCTGACCAGCGCATTGTATACGGGCGCAGCATACGATCCGTTGAAGGCAGTGACGCTGGTGTCGGAGGAGTCGCGGCACTATTTCAAGGTGCAGACGGTAACCAAGACGATCGAGGCGGTGCTGGCGGGGACTGCGGCGCCGTTCACGCAGCTGGTGTTCAGCAAGGTAGCGTCGGCCGACGGCTCGTCGGTGGGCGACGTGATAGACCGGGCGAATCCGGTGGCGCTGGTGCAGCCGTACAGCTTCACGACGGACAATATCGCGCCATATCACTTTGACCTGTCGATGTACATCTTGTCGGTGACGCTGTCGCTGGGCATGGTGATTGGGTCGTTCATTCCGTCAAACATGTGGAAGACCATCGAGGAGCCGTTCTTCAAGCAGGTCAAGGTCAGCCAGGTGATCATGCTGCGCGGCTTCATCAACGTCGCCTGGGCCTTTATTATCTGCCTGCAGGAGACCGGCATTGTGTTCGCCTTCCGCGGGCCGTCGTGGTCGCCGACGGTCGGCGATTTCTTCGGCATCTTCGGCATCCTGCTGCTCAACACATTCGCCTTCACCTTCTTCATCGACTGCCTGCAGAACTGGATGCACCCGCGGTTCCTGCTGGCCACCTACTTCACCACGCTGTTCGTCAACATCTCTGCGGCCATCTTCGGCACCGAGCTCAACAGCCACTTCTTCCGCATTCTCTACGCCACGCCGTTCCTCAACAGCGGCTTCACCATCCGCACGCTGCTGACCCGCGGGTCCTACAACAAGATCAAGTTCTCGATCACCATCAACGTCCTGTGGGCGGTCTTTTGGTGGATCCTCTCCACTTTCCTGATTGCCCGCAAGGCCCGCCTGGTGCGCGCTGGCAAGCTGCTGATGGCCAACATTCCGCCGCCCCCGCAGCCTGCACCTGCCCCTGCCCCGGCGGTTGCGGCTGCTGCTGGCGAGCCCGAGAAGAAGAGCCTGCCCGAGGACGACCTCCCCAGCGCCGGCACTTCGTTCACCGACGAGTACTCGTCGTCCAGCGACCGCGAGGAGTCGCCCAGCGCCGAATCGCATGCCACGGTCAACCAGCACCGCGATGCAGGCCGGAGAAAGTCCGCTGATGCAGTCTCTGACATTGAGATTAAAGATTGCTAATAGAACATGCCTCTTTCTGCGGCTCAAACACACGTTATATATCTTTTCTTTTCTTTTGCGCTAATAACATCTGCTGAACTCAGCCACACTTCAAGGATCGTCCTTCTCCAAGCCCCTGGGTGGTGCCGGACGAGAGAAAGCGCATCCTGATGCTTTACTCTGCATTACGAAGCGGCGCAAAAGAAAACAAATGGCTGCGAATTTCTTGTGACATCACACCACATCGGGCCTCAGCCACTCAGCGCAGCCGCCTCCCCCGCACATTCTCGACAAGCGCGCACAGTTCGCGTTGCTTCGTGGCCATGAGCCTGACGCTATTCGTTGAGGGGCTGGCCTCCCTTGGCTCCGCTTTCATTACACACCAGCCCATTTTCTCACCACTGTCCGCACACCCCGTTTACTTTTCTGGCTCTGTTGTGCAGGCAGGCCTCTCACATACGCGATTTTCGTTGAGCAAAAGGGAACGCGTGCGCGCGCGAGAGTGTGGGTTGAGCCCGCTAACCCCGGCCCTCCTTCTTTGTCTGGTATAGGACGCCAAACGGACGCCTAGCGTAGAACGTGAAGAGCGCGCGTAGCGAAAAAGTTGGGCACCAGTCGGAAGTTTTTTTTTTTTTTTCTCCATCACAACAAAGCGCGATGAGTTGTATAAAAGGCATGCTGGTCGGCCCTCTGTATCAGCGGTTTCTCACTACTTCCCGACCCTGGCATATTCCGTTCTACACTTTGCACACCTCCACAACTGTAACAAACAAAATGACACCCCCGGTCATGTCAGCAGCCTCGCCAGCATCAGCATCCAAACAAGTCTACGAGACAAACAAGAAGCGGATGCATATGAGCTCAGCCAGCCCGAATTTCCTGGGCACGGCAGCCAGCGAGCACTCGCCCAAGTTCGCGCTGGACAAGGACTTTGTTGCATCATACCGCAGCGTGGCGCCGCCCTTTGGGTTCAACGGGCTGGGCGAGATCGTCTACCGGCGCACATACTCGCGGCTGAAGGCCGACAGCACGCGCGAGAAGTGGTTTGAGACCATCGAGCGCGTGGTCAACGGGACATTCCATCTGCAGCAAAAGTGGCTGGCCCAGAACAACCTGCCCTTTGACGCAGCCAAGGCGCAAAGGCAGGCGCAGACCATGTACGACAAGATCTTCCACATGAAGTTCCTGCCGCCTGGCCGCGGCCTGTGGGCCATGGGCAGTCCATTGACCGAAGAGCGCCAGCTGTACGCGGCCCTCAACAACTGCGCATTTGTCAGCACGGGCCGCATGTGGGAGGGCGAACACACGGCTGCGCGGCCCTTCGCATTCCTGATGGACGCGGCCATGCTTGGTGTGGGTGTCGGCTTTGACACCAAGGGCTCGGTGGCAGCCCGGGAGCAGAACATCTTGGTGGGAGCCCCCTCGACCCGTCCGCAGTCGACATTTGTCATCCCCGACTCGCGCGAGGGCTGGGTCGAGTCCGTCGGCCTGCTGATCGACAGCTACCTGGATCCAAAGTCAACCGATCAGTTTGACTTCGACTACAGCCAAATCCGCCCCGCCGGCCTGCCAATCAAGGGCTTCGGCGGCGTGACCAGCGGCCCCGAGCCTCTGCACGAGCTGCACGATGCGATCCGCCAGACGCTGGACCGCAACTCGGGCAACCCGCTGTCGGTCAGCTCAATCGTCGATCTGATGAACCTGATTGGCAAGTGCGTGGTGTCGGGCAACGTGCGGCGCACCGCCGAGATTGCCTTTGGCGACCCGGCCGACGCCGAGTACATTGATCTGAAGAACTACGAAGTCAACCCGCACCGTGCGGCCTACGGCTGGACTAGCAACAACTCGGTGTTTGCGACTGTGGGTATGGACTATTCGGATATCTGCAAGCGCGTGCAGCTGAACGGCGAGCCCGGGTTCCAGTGGATGGAGAACGCGCGCAGGTATGCGCGCATGGGCGAGGAAACCGACAGGGACTCGCGTATCGAGGGCGCCAACCCGTGCAACGAGCAGTGTCTCGAATCGTACGAGCTGTGCTGCTTAGTCGAGACGTTCCCGGACAACCACGCAACGCTGGCCGAGTACCTTGACACCCTAGAGAGCGCCTTTCTGTACGCCAAGACCGTGACCCTGGCGCCGACGCACTGGCGCGAGACCAACCGCGTGATGCTGCGCAACCGCCGCGTCGGTACCAGCATTTCGGGCGTGGCGCAGTTTGTCACCCGTCGCGGGATCGACCAGCTGCGCGTCTGGCTGGACGCCGCATACCAGCGCATCCAGCAGATCGACACGCAGGTGTCGGAGCTGTTTTGCGTGCCGACCTCGGTCAAGACCACGTCGGTCAAGCCCTCGGGCACCGTGTCTCTTTTGGCCGGCGCTACGCCCGGCATGCACTACCCTGAGTCGCGCTTCTGCATCCGCCGCGTGCGCATCTCCAAGCTGTCCGACCTTCTGCCAGCGCTCGAGGCCGCCGGCTACTACATGGAGGACGATGTGGTTGACCAGTCGTCGATGGTTGTCGAAATCCCGATCGACCACGGGGAAGGCATCCGCGGCCTTGAAGCCGTGTCGATGTGGGAGCAGCTAGCCTTGGCTGCCTTCCTTCAGAAGCACTGGTCGGACAACCAGGTGTCGTCCACCATCACCTTTGACCCAGAGCGCGAGGGGCCGATGCTCAAAAATGCCCTGGATTACTACCAGTACCAGCTCAAGGGCATTAGCTTCCTGCCGCGCCTCGACTACGGCGCCTTCCCACAGATGCCCTACGAGGCCATCGACGAGGGGAAATACAGAGAGATGATCAAGCACATCAAGAATGTCGGCCTGCATATGGTTGAGGACACGGACCAGAACGAGCCCGAGGCTGAGCGCTACTGCAGCAACGACAGCTGCACTCTCTAAAGCTCCGATTCTTGAAGCGTCTTGTGGTGGAAACTATTTGCTCGGCTGGTGCCGCCCTGTTACCTTTAGAGCCTAGCCTTCAATTTTTAAATAAAATTATTTTTGTAGCAATTCGCTGTCAGCACACAGCCCACTCGTTATTTTTTTTTTCTACTCGTTAACATGTGGACATGCAAGAGTGCCCCGCTGCCAGCCGGCTCTAAACCAGAATTGCTTTCATGTAAACAAGCTTCAGCTGTGCACTAGATTTTCTTAGCTCCGCCGCAGTACTGGCCGAAAACCGGTCTGAACTATTGCGGCAGCCATGTGGTCCCGACGGTCCCGCAAAAGGAAAGAAAACAGCTTTGATTTGCATGTGTGCAGTGCCGCTAATATACGTTGCATGTGTCATATGAACAAGTGCAGCCAACTTCCGGACCTGAATGACCAGCGCGCTGGAAAAAAAAAAATTAAAAACCAAAAGCGAGGCAGGAACGCAGGCAGAGACCGGAGCCACCTTTGATCCACAAAATAACTCGAAGTCCGAGAAAGTACGCGCTTCTAGCATCGCTAATTGGCAGACTCTTGCTCCACCGTTTTGAAATCCGCACTGGAAGCAGCATGCAAGACAAGCTTCTATCTTGTATTTCAGAAAAGGTCCGAATAGAACCAGCAATGAAACAGCTCCGGCATTACCTTA